TTGTTATCGACTTTGCTAAGAAAATTTTGACGATTTTGGTATCGGTATGTCTATCGTGTTTGTTATCGATATTTGTATGGATTTTACTATCGATTTTGTTATCGATAGAGTATAAAGATAAAGAAAAACAGAATAACAAATGTCATTAGAACGAACAGGTTAGAGGTAGAGATCAATATATACAGATAGAAAAAAGACAAAAAGTATAGCCTTAAGCAAAAGCAGATGTACATATGTATGTACATACATACATACATATGTTTGTGTATGGTTATGAGACAAACTAGATGTGTAACGTAAGTTTCACTTCTCCAGTGTGGCCCAGGCGCACTTAATTTTTTTTTTTTTTTTAATATTGCTGAACTATAAATCTTCAAGACCCCAAAACTTATTATATTTTTTTGTTGTAACTTTCCAACCGCCTTTCTTTATAGTATATACCTATAGCGTTTTCTTTTCTCGAAATAGTCTTACATTTATTCTGCCCTGGGCCAGGGCTGTCAAGTTTTTGTGTTCTTTTCTCAGCATCTTCACATGCATATTGCCTGCTCCTTCGTTAAAATGTTGCATTCGGAAAATGTTGCCACATGAGAAGGTGACATTCTATTCGAGAAAAGAAAACGCAAGTATAAGCCCAGTCATTATTGCTGGTTGATTGTTCAAGTGCTTAGTACACAATGGCTGGCGTCTGCCGCTTTATGCTCCATTTTTTCTACATTTTTTAAAACTGACAGTGAGCACGTTTACATGTACATACATACATACACATATGAAGCCTACATGTATGTACGTATATAGATAGATATATTTTTGTGTCACTGCATTTACTATACTTATGTATGTATGCACATATGTGGATATGTATCCGACATCATACACCAATTCGAAATGCAAATGTCACTCATCCGCCACGTTGAGCCACTTCACTTCACTTCATTTTACTTCGCTCCACATACTTCATGTCATTGCCGACAATGTTGTTGGTGGTGGTGCTGCTGGTGCTAACATTCTTTGTTATTTTGTTTGTTTTTGTTTCTTTTGCAGCTACTTCGTGCTGGTATATTTGTTCACACGCATTCGCAATGAATACAAAACATGCTTGTACATATTTAGTGGCAGAGCGTAAATAAGAAAAAAAAAAAAAAAAAAAAAAAAAAAAAAAAAAAAAAAAAAAAAAAAAAAAAAAAAAAAAAAAAAAAAAAAAAAAAAAAAAAAAAAAAAAAAANAACGATGACGATGGCGACGATGACATCCTACATTCACTTAAACATACTCAAACTTAAATACACCCGCTCACCCATTGAGACAATGTCAGCGTGTTGGTGGCAACGATTGCTGCTTGCCACTTGAACATGTCAACTGCCGCTTTATAACGGTTATGTCGTCTATGAACGAGTACTTCTGTCTGTCTAAATATGTATCTACCTACATACTTGCCGTATCTTCTTATTTTAACAAATATTTCAGCGTTTGTGTGTATCATAGCTCGTTGAAGCGGTGGCTGGCCCTAATGTTGGTGCTTGCGGTGGTGGCAGTTTTTCGTGGCACCCGAATGAAATGCAAATGTATATCTATGTATGTTAATACACTTTTACAGCTATAATGCTCTAATTGTTATAAATTTTTTGGCTTTTATTTAAAATTTAATTTCTGCTCGCTTTAATTGTAAAATAGTGCGTGATATTTATCAATTTAAATGGTGTGGTTTTTTCAATAAATATTTTTTTGGTCTAAAGAAAAACGTAGAGCACTTTGAGACGATAGGGAATAGTCATTCGTTTGAGCATGTAGTCATAGTTGTACTGTGATACTCAATCGCAGATTCAGCTTTCCCGTTCGCGGACACTGGGGAGATACCCATGTGCGAGGTGCAGTAACCAAGCCGAGAAGCCTTTTGTCACGGGAAAAGTAAAGGGTTTAAGGGCTCAGTAGGTTAATAATAATAATAATAATCTAAGCCTCATTTGTACGCACGCCCCGATGGAGGAGTAAGACGATGTGATTAAAGAGCAGTTCTACGAACACGTAAAGAAACCATGCCAGCGCCGCCGCCCCCCGTTGATAAAGAAGAAATATTGCGTTGCAAATAACTCTGACAACGGTTTAACGACTTTGCTGCGGCACGGAACATGGTAGCGGATAGATTTCGAAAACTCTTCTTCACACCCCAGAGTGCACCTGTGATATTCATATTAACTAATCAGAATCCAGACCAATGCTGGCGTTGTTGCACTCGATCAAGATGAGCCGACGGTATAGCAGCTGAGTAGTTTATGGCGTTGGAAAAGATCTGGTTTGGCATTATCAGCTGGAAGGCAGAATATGGAACGAAGAATACATGCCAAAAGATTAGAATCCCACTGTAGTTTGTCTCTAATCCACCGCCTTTTGTGCAAGTTATCATGGCATGAGCCTTCATAATATTGCTTATAAGGTCATGTCGAAAATACTGAGTGAAGAGCCGAAGCCCATCTTCAACCAACTGACTGGCCCTTATCGGTGCACCTTTAGAACTGAAAGCTCCACCAGCGACCCGATTTTGGCAGCAGGTCAAATGATGGTCATCTCCATATAATATAGATAAGCCAATGGATTTCAAAGCAGCTTTTTTATAGCGAGGAGAGAATCTTCCTCTACAATACCATGTCTAACTTTGAGATCCATGTTAAACTAAGACGGCTATGTAGAGTACGTGAGGTTGAGCACAACATTCATTTTTGGAGGTATTTTCAAATCGATCCAGCTCACTTTAATCTTAATATTTTTCCGAAATATTTTGGTGGACGTCTTATAATGTAATAGATTTTATAATTCCAATGGAAAAATAGTACCGATTTTTTTTTGTATGGGGAGTGATGCAGTCTAATGTACATATGTACGTACATAAGTCTACCTACATACGAGGAAACTTTTTGAAATGGGGATGTTTTCGTTGCCGCCACAAAGCAGCTGCACTGCCAAAAGCGAATTTTATACCTTCAAGTGCAACTCGCATAAAATCTACATTTTACTAAAATATATCTTCTCGAGCGATTTTACCTAAGCTGAGACGTTCATTTTTAGGTTATGAGGAATAAAAATACAGGTATTAAACAAATATGCCAGTTACGAAATGCGAGAATTTCGCGTATTTTATAAAAATCGTGAATTTTCTTGTGATACTTATTTATTTGGAAGAAGAAGAGTCCTAAATAGGTCAAAGGAAAATGGGCTACTTAAGTTAAATGAATTTTTATAAAATGGATGTCGATTGAGTCGATTATATCCCAGAAATGGTGACTCTTAGAGACAAGTATCTAAAGGAGAGATAATTTCCTGATCAATACTTTTGTCCAATACTTTTGTCTTATGATAAACCTAATCGTTTAGCTGAAAAATGGCAAATATCAATTTATGTAACCTTTGACCTTAAATATTTTATTTTTTTTACAAATCTGGGATCAATAAGGACTTTTGAAATTTGATTTATAATGACATTGTTTAACATTCGTACCAATTTTCAGCTTTATGCAAGTTACTGCAATCATGAAAATCCAACTTGACTGGGTTAGCAAGAAACAATTTTAAAGATATGGTTTGAATAGAGTAAAAGCAATAAAAAAATATTAGTGACAAGGGTTATAATGTATTTCAATTAGGTTGACCAGTGATAATTTATGGAAAAATTTGTGCTTCTTTTTTTATTAAGAAATCCCCATCTCGAAAGATTTTACCATATATAACTACATAGAAAAAAATATATACATTTTGCATATCATTGCCCACTTCAGTGTTTGTCTATTTACCTGGCTGTGTGAAAAGAAAGCCTGCAAGGCAATAAACTTTGTGCAGCGATGCAGTAAGTTAGTTGCCCCCTAATCGCTCAGAGCACTTTGCATTTGGCCGCCACCACTTTTTTGATGCCGAGCTTAAGCTGCAGTTTGTCTGTGGATTTGATGGATGTACATTAGGTTGCATCACAAAAAAAAAAAATATTAAATGTATCCAACTGATTTCAAAAACTTCATATGCAAATTTCTTACAGTAGTAAATTTGTTTTCGGCGCTTTGTTATTCCAATATACTTCTGTAAATACAATTTTTCTTTGGTTAGTGATTATTGAGTTGAAAATTCTTCAAACTAATATTTGTAAAAAAAACATTTCTTAAATTATCCAAAACCATCATTAAATATGCATATTTTTTTTCTTCTTCTTTAGATTTGCGTTTAAGATTTATAAATCGCCTAAAGCATTTTATATCCATTTTAGCTCCTTTTTTAGTGATACAGCCTAATGTGCTTTACATGCACACAATATGTTTGTAGCTATATGACCTGCATAGCTGCAATACAGGTGACGCTGCGACGCCGTCTTAGCAATTTTTTTGCAGCATTTCCTACCTACTTTGCTTACCTTACATTTTCAGTTTTTTTTTGTTTGCCACCTTTTATTCTATCTCTCTCCAGTGATACCTTTGTGGCTGTAAGGAAACACTTTTTCACTTCTACGAGTATGAAACGCCTGTAACAGCTCGTTAGAAATTTCAGCTTTTTTCCCAGTACACTCTGTGCGTTTGTGTTTGCAAGTCTTTAATGTGACAGTGTAAATATCTTGTAGCGTATACTTTATTCATAAAACGTTTGACGTTTTAAAATTTCTTAAGCTGCTTCGTAGTCATAGCAAGCAAAAAAGCTGGAAATATTGGAAGTATTGCTTCACTTATCCGCCACTCGTTTTTTTTTTTCAAAATCGAAAATTAATATTTCTTGCGAATGCAATAAACTTTCTCTAATTTTTGGTAAGTGTTTTTAAATTTCGGCTGATTATTGCACTTAATTTTCCTTCAGCACATAAAAGTAAATTGAATTTTTCAATTATGAGTGCACATAATTAGCCAAAAAGTTTTTGAAAAACGCTAAAGTTTTGGCAGTTTTGGCAGTGTTAAAATGTGGCCACAGCAGCGGTAACAAAATTTTAAGAAGAACGATAACAAGAAGCAATGAGAAAGCGGCAAACTTACCAACAACTTGCACTTGCGCATAGGCCGTGGAGGTGGAGAAGAGCGGTGCATCGGCGGTGACTTCGCAAGAAAAGTTGCCGGATAAACTGAAACTCACGTCGCGTAAGACAACTTGTGTAGCATTGGAGATAAGTTCCTGAAATGTGACGGGAAAAAGAAGATAATGTTAAGGAATATTTATAAAATGCAATTCTCTTCCGTTTGTGTTTTAATGCAATGCTTTCGTTTCGAAGTGATAATTAAATAAATTTTAATATATGTATATATGCGTCATTCCATACAATATTTACACCTCATGAAAAAAAAAATTGAGGTGTAAATATTGTATGAAATAAGCCATATGTAAGTAAAAAAAAACAACAAAATCAAACTAAAAGGCATTAATTAGACTATTAAGCGTTTTTTTTATTCTTCTCTTTAGTAAGTTTTGTGTTCAGTGCTCGGTTAAAAAGTGTAGAAGAGTGTCATGAGCCCCCAGCACATAGACGCGTCATCGCGACGAGCCCTGCTCCCTTTGGCTACCCGAGAATTGAGTCAGTAAACTCTAATATGAGCAGTAAATATTCGGTTTACTTTCATCTCCAAAATCAGTTTTTATTAAAACTCATCCGCCGGAAAATTCTCTGCAGAAAGCGTCTTTGACAACACCCTTCTATAGCCAATAGCTAAATAACTAGAGGGGCCAATTTCATAAGGTAATCTATAAATTTCTATGCCAAAAAACTCAGGGCTGAGCGGAGTAGCGCCTATTTTCAGCATAAAGTTATGAGGGACATTTCGCAAAGAGCTTTCACTTCTGATTTGTATAGTGGTCGCAAACGACTTACTATAAGAGCGCTGTTGAACATAACTTGTCAGGCAATTACCTAGGCGGACGACATGGTGCAAATGGTTGTGGATTACTTGACCCGGTACAATCTGATTCGAGGTTACTACGGGACCTCGCCTTCAATCCTAGCTACAGAACTGGTTTTATTCGCTAGGAAACGCACTACTTTAACTCGTGCCTCGATTGGAGATTTTCCCTTACATGTTTATGTCAGGATCAAGTACTTGAACCTAAGCCTCGGCAGAAAGGTGTCGGGGAATCACGGCATTGAAAAAAAAAGTAGAGAATACATCAGTTGCCTTAAATTTATACAGGAAAGCCATTGGTAAAAGGCGAAATCTCTGACCTACGATAGCATATTTAAGCCTATTAAATTTAAAAGAGTTCTATAGTGGTGGTTCGCTAGAGAGCGATTCACTACTTAAGCGCAGCTAGAGTGCGTAGAATAGGCTGAATTGCATTGGTATATGTGGTGCATTGCGGCCCACTTCCACTTTGGCACGCAAGGGCATACTGAACATAATACCCACCTTTTAACGTTGCATATAGAATTGCGGCTGCAGTAAGGCTCAGGGAAACAAGATTTACCAGGCATCTTCGACGTCTGAACAGGAGGCTTGATTTCATCCCTGCTGCCTGGAGGAAGGGACTTTTTCGTAAATAAGTCGAAGTTGAATCAGAAGGTTGGTAGTAGGGTCTTCTGGCATCAACCAATCGCCAATGTAATTTTTTTCATATAGCAGCGGCTACCACACAAAAATCAGTGTATATACAGTGAAAGGATGTGATGCCCATATTTGTAGGAGGTACGAATCTTATTATGCTATCACGATGTAGGCAGACAGAGGTGACACAATCAGCAGTACCGCTACTTTGGTTTTGGCGAATTTGACAGAATCAGTTGTTCGTGTGACGTCATTTTAGCAAACTGTTTGTATGTATGCAGAGATGTTTGTATGCATGTAAATATGGCGACCTCCATGGTTTGACGGTTAACACTCTTTCTCTCCTCCATCTCCAATTACTCTTTCCTATTCGTTGCTATCTTGACGTCATCACCCGCAGGAATGCGCGATCTTGTATTCTATCATTCTTGGGATGCTATGAGAACTATCCATGAACGATTCAGGCCCTTAAGATGGATATTGAGCAAGCCATTCGTGAGGTAGTGCAAGAAACCGTCATTAAGGTCTTGGAAAGCTATGTTAACCGGTTGCACTACTACGAAGCCAGTCGTAAGAAACCGCGCTCTATAAATAACAGAATTGTTTGCCCCTTCGAAAAACTAAAATGATTTTGTTAAGTTTTTGAATTAAAAAAAAAAAACACTACATGGACCACCCTGCAGACATACTCTAAATCACAGGACTTAGAGATATACCAAGTAATTGTGTGTGTCCTAGCTAGGCTTGTTTCGCTTTCATGCCATAAACTGTAGCTTAAAATGTCCTTATTAATTAATTAAATAAAAGAACAAAAAAAGATAAGTTTCTTGGACTCCAATTGCATAAAACATTGCATTTTATTTGGAGAGAGTTGTGTCACTGCACTACTTAAGCGCTTTCTGTCTGTATATGAAATTACGTATTTTCTTTGCACTCAATACTCACATCGACTTTAATGCCTGGGTATTGGAAGTATTTCACATTCGGAAATTCACCCGGTGTATAACGGTAGAATTCGTAATTGCCACGATAGTATTTTATTGAATAAAGCGGAGCTCCCTCGAGCGCATAGTGACAACGTAAAATGACCGATTGTCCACGTCGTACTGCTGGAGGTTCAATGAATAAATTTACATTGCTGAGAGCAGCTTGGGCGTAGTCTGGAAGAGAAAAGAAAATTGAATTATTTACTTAAATATTTGTATGTATGAATTGAAAATTAGTTGAGAAATATTGAAAATACATAAATACTTATATCGTTACCTAAACGTGATAAGCTGCCAACCAAATTTTTTTGGAATTATTCAGGAGAGCGGAAAAATTGATGTAGTTTCGCATTACCTTTCATTCTGCATTAAAAGCTAAATTTTGAAAAAAGTTGACTTGGCACAATTTCACATTTTGGTAGAGATATGTATTTAATCCGATATTTTTAAGTAGTACATATCAGGGACCGAACATAACAGTTATTGATGAAAAATGTCATTGAAAAATTCAGTATGAAGGAAATATTCACAACTAAGTGATACATACGAAACAATTTCTTTTTTCAACGAGAATCAAATAAATTTTTATTTGTAAATCAAATACATTTTTATGTGTAATTTTTATGCAAAATAAAAAACATAGCAATTATTTTTAATTTTAATTTTATATGTTTTAGATAACAGTTATCAGTCAGAGAATTTTATTTTTAAAAGCCATCGTTATATATCAGTCACCGATATTTATTACTTAAGCGTACGTATAAATGTCATTATCATTTTTTGCAGGTAAGAAGGTTTTTGGGAGCAAAAGTTTTCTACGGCTTATTCAAATGAATTTTAGTGTTCTTTACAAAAATAAAAGTCAGTGACTGATTTATATTGATGACTTTTAAAAGTGAAAGTTACTGACTGATTTTTATTTATGAATTTTTATATAAAAGTCTTCAATAACTGTCATCTAAGACATTTTATTTAAAAATCAAAACAACTATTTTTTGCAGATTATTTAGATAAAATCAAAAATAATTCGTATTTAAATAAATAAAAAATAAAATAATTTAAATAACTATTATTTAAGGAGTAATTAAATATAAGTAAAAAAATAACTGTTAAAGAGCGATTTTTATTTTTTTTTGTAGTTTGTAACTCTTACGGTCTTGGATACATATACTGAAAACAGGATTAGCAGAAAAAAATATCATTAATTACATAGAAAGCCATGAGAACTAGTTTGGTTAATCTACAAAAGATTGCTCGGGTCTAACCAAAGAAATTTGCCAGCCAATCAGTTGTTATCAATTATATGATCTCTTATCTACCTGTACATGCGTTGGCCTTAGCCATACTATTTCTATCCGTACTAACAAAAGGTGTGACTTTGAGTGACAATATTTGAGCGCTTAAACTCAAACATCACTCGATTTCGTTTTTTTTTTGCTTATTTTCTTCTCCGATATTCACTCGTTACTTCAAATATCACATTGCAATTGTTCAACTGCAATTATTCAGGCTAACGCTGTGAAAAATCCAACGAAATTAAGCTGAAAGTTAACTTTCGCGTCACGAGCAATTTCGCATTTTATTTGAACGACACAACCAAAATTCAAATTCACTTTTTCACCCATCGTAAAATTACTATCGACCAGCCGTCATTTTAGCTTTAAACCAATACTGGTGATGTGTCGAGTTTGGTAGAGCCCACTTAAGGCCCTGCAAACACATAGCTGTTCCGGCTATATGTTCTCAATTCTTTTTCTAGTCTCCATATAAATTCTCTTCGCTTTTTTCTATTAAACTTTTTTCCGCCCATTTGAACGCTAGGCCGCCCGCCGCATTCAGCAAGCTCCATGACATTGCAGCATCAGTTTTAAAACGAAACACATAAATCAATTAAAACTAAAATGTCACACCATTCCGGTTCGTGATTTTAAGCCATTTTTTTTTTACCGAGCATAGGTCAGCTGCTTGTGTAAAGAGTTTGTTCGCAAAGTCCGTTACCGCTTATTATTTGCCCGCATAACCCTATATCAGTAGGAGGCCGCGAGTATGTTGAAAAAAAAAAAAAAACGAAATAAAAGTTTGATAAAACTCCAAATTTCTCACCCGCTACTAACGGTTTTTCAATAATTTTTTTATTTCTCTGCTTTTTTGCTATTGGCTTTGCAAGTCTCACAAACAAAAAAATAAATAAAAAATCGTTAAGTTTAAGCCGTACCGAGTGATGTTTGGTATTTCCATGCCTGGCGGTATTGTTTTTTGACAATATTTTTACATTTACACACACACACACATATCGAAATACATATTTATCAGCATATGTGTATATATGAGCCGTTTATTTTGAATGTAACATAAGTCACTTCCGCTACTTGCGTTTGAATGGTTTGTTACTTCTAACTGAATGCAGCTGTGAATCGTTCTGTCGTCATAAACTAAAGACACAACTTTTTTATGCTTTTGGCCTGCGAAGTTGAGCGATTAACAGAGGCGTTCAGGTAAAGATCATAGAAGTCATAAAGCATCAAACGAGTAATGCCACTTTCAAAATAAATGGCTCAATTCTGCATTTATGAGCTTTCTCTCTCCTGGCTCCCGCTTGCTGGCATTCGTTCTGCTGTCAGGAATGAATAACAAATCGATACCTGAGTGGAATATCGACTTATCACGGTAGCCAGGTCGAGACGGCCCTATCTCAGAATCTGATTGAAGAACGCCCTATTTCAGAATCAGTTCAAAAACGCCCTATCTCAGCTGCTGATTAAAAAGCGCCCTGTATCAGCACATTTTCAATATATTTTCAGCTGAGGTAGGTCGTTTTTGAGCCGAGTTCTGAGATAGGGCGTTCTTTAATCAAATTCTGAAGTATGGCGTTCTTGAAAATTTTTCTGATATAGGGCGTCTTCAAAGTGGCTACCGAGATAGGTCGATATTCCACTCAGGTGTCGAAGTAACTTTAGTATTTACGAAAAATAAAATAGTATTATCGTAAACTTTTTTTTTTGTTGTTTAGAACAAAGTGCTTTTAAAATTTTTCCAAGTGTCTAGATTAATTTTTGATAGAATTGTTTGGGGATAAATTCTGCACAGTTGGTTGCAGGAGATTACAATCCGTTGAACTGTAAATTTCAGTTGACATTTGAGAGAAAGTTTAAATTGAAAGCATCACAGCCTCCACTATCAGCTAAATGAAAGTCAGTTGATTTGCATATCTAAACTAAGCGATGCTGTGACAGAAAGTGTGAATAGACCAATGATTGATTCAAATGTTTGAGGCTAAGCGTATGGACAAAAAAAAAAACAATACAAATTCAACACTCTTAAAAAAGTTAATATAAACTTTATTAAAAACTAGCCTGAACCCGCTGCTCTGCTCGCGTGGTAGCAGAATATGTTAGAAAAAGATTGTATAGCTTGGGTCTGGTGGAATAAAATGCAATAATTTTCACACATCAGGTGATTTTAATTACACTATTATAGATATCTCCAATAAATTGCATAATATGTAGTAGAAAAACGAAACGCGTAAAAAAAATATTTACGAAAAAATACGCTTAAGACTTCGGCGAAGAAAGACGCGTAACCCAGTTGACGGCGAAGAAAGATGCGTAACTAAACATAGATTTGTACCAGGCCAAGCCAAGGACAGTCACTTCAGCATCATGCCCCAAAAACTCTTTGGGGAATTTACATACATACCGTTACACCCGCAAACATAGTTGACCCCCAAAATAAGTCTTTCTTCGCCATGAAATCGGATAACGCGTTTTCTTCGCCGTCAACTATGTTTTGGGGTATTTCTTCGCTGAAGTTTTTTTACGCGTATTTCTTCGCGGTCAACTTTTGAGCTCGCGCCTTTATTTGTGTCTAGTGGCGATATGTCGTAAACATAAAGTTACATACATACATATTTAATTATTAATAAAGAATTAAGCACAAATAAACAAACAAATAATTAAGTTGTAAACCAAATAAAAGTGATGCATGATTTTTACGAAATATGGAAAATGAAATTATTTATGTAATGATTAAAGATTTTTTGTTTTTTTTTTTAAGAATGAGAAAAACTCAAACTTTAACAGGGAACAAATAAAAAAAAATAACAGATTCTGTGTAAATTTTTTCTTTTATGTTCAAGCCTGTTCAGTTACCAAGGAAAGCAAGCTAATGGCGAAAATCTATGTAAAAATAAAATAGGAAAGAGTGATCAAATGAAAATGCGTAAGGATTTTTTTGTATGAAATATGAGCCGGAAACAATGTTACTCATACGCCATGTATGTCCCGGGCTCACCTTTTACAGATTAAGTCGATCAAAATAGATGAACAGACTATGCTTGACGTGCCTTTAGTGATGGCTAAACGACTTTGGACAATCCTCTACTCATTGTGAAAAGGGCTCGACATGTACTAATGTTAAATAGTTGAGTTTTGTTTTTAATTGAATTCCAGATCACACAGAATTACCCGTTAATTAGGAATTTTATCAGTTGACAATGTGTCCCGGAGATCAGGACTGGATGGCTCGAGATGAATGAATTCACATTTTCCGCTTATGGTAGCTCATGATAGATCTGCTAGTTGTACTTCTGTATGTCTTCTCTATGTTTGTACCTAATATTGATAAGGCCTCGGCATTCACACAAGAAATGGTAGATACTTTCTTCGAAATCTTCCAGCAGAAAGCTGCGACAATTTCCATTTTATGGAAGTACTATTGCTGCCGAACGTTTGCCCAGAATACAGTGTTCCGTTACAATTCTGAATTGTTGTTAAAATTCTGAATACTTCTGCCTTTGTTATAGTGTATACAACAGTAAAACAAGGCTTTTCACATTCGAAAATGCATTTTTTCCCCCAGGGCGACGTCCTAAGAAAATTTAGGCATTCAATTTTACATTACCTAGTATCGAGAAATGAATGTGGTTTAATATGAAATTTTTGGGACTTTTTGAATACATTAGAATGCTGATTACGCATTAAACAGTAATCGGATTTAAAACTCGATTATTTATCACGCATGGAATGCATTACTACTTATCCCACTGGGAAGCTTCTGCTGATGGTTCTCTTTCCAGTGTATTTAGTACGCTATTCCCATAATAAGCTATAGCTTATTTTGGGTCTGCAGGTTAACTACAAGCTAAAAAATCTCACCGAGAGATGTCGCTATTAACT